AACCCACTGCCAGTGAAGTTTCCACCATGGAACCGCAGAGCCAGGTTCCGTGCCGTGCAGCGGTAGCGAGGGGTAAGGAGCTGAACTGCTCCTTGTGTCACTGCTCCAAGCGCCAGGGTCAGACAGGGGCACCATTATTCTCCATCTTGCTCCAAAAACACTCTCTTCCCTCCTCCCCCACCACCGAGCCTTTCAGTCGATGTGTCAAAGGAAAATCATCTCGGGGCTCTGCCTCAGCACTCTGCCTGGTGCTCAAGAGGGTCCGGCAGGAAGGGGCCGCTGGCCCCAGGGACGAGCTCCGGCTCAGCTGCCCAGGGCAGGAGGATGCGGGACGGATGCCGCGAGGCAAGGAAGCCTCCTAAGGAAGCACCCCGCATTCCAGGAAAGAGCCCGAAGAGGGGAGGTCCGGGCTCCCGGGGGCTGCTCGACAGGGGGACACCGGAGCGTGCCTCGCTGCCGGCGGGAAGCTCTCCAGGCGGAAGTTATAAATTAGGCATCTCCAGAGACCTCATTCATTTTACCCGTAATAAAATTACCACTTTTCAAAGGGGAAAGCCCCTTTGAATTACTTCAGTCAAACTAACCCCACGGGACGGCTTAGCTCAGACGCATGTACGCCCAACCCCAGCTCTGCAGCCAAGAATCACACAGCCGCTCTGGGGACGCGGCTGGTATTACGAGCAGCGCGACCCCTTCAAAACCCACCCCAGCTACGTTCCAGAGGTCCAACGGGGCACAAAGCACCACCACCGCGTCTCGGAAAGGAAGATGCAAATACAACTAACTTGTTTCAACCTCCTGTTTCTTTTTTGACCTGTGCCTTTTCCCCTGCTATTTTCCAAGTCTATTCAACTCCCCTCATCTTGGCAAAGCCATTCACCCTTGTCCATAATGTAAAAAAACCCCAAAACAAAAATCCCCGTGCCCCTGGGGTACTACTGAAGCCATTAATGTATCTGTATAGGCTGAAACTTCTTATTTTAAAGAAGGCATGCCTATTTGTTACTTGCCAACACCTTATTTCAGTTAATCTCACCCTGCAACATCCTATTTACTGCAGCTTTAAAAACCAGGCAGCTTAGAACACAAGTAGGGAACAGGATGTTTTTCCATACTGCAGAGCCAGGGGAAGACCAGGGCTGCAGAGCAGACACCAGGAGAGCTCCCCACACCCGTTGCCAGCAGTTGCTGCATACTCCTGGCTTTGGCATGGCCCTCAACGCGAAAAAAACACCAACATGACAATGAATTAAACTTTGTCACGAACAACGAGCAGTAACACATTCATCCCCACGGATGCAGATTAAGTAGTCCAGCTCTAAGCTCCTAAGGAAAACACCCACCACTTCCAAACCCGCATTTGTTTGAATCTGATGACCACGGGCTGTATCTTGGAAAGTGCTCTGGGATGCGGGAGTAGAGCCGAGGGAGACCCACTTGCTTCCGAACCCTAAAACCGCAGCGTCTCCGCTCCCTTGGGATGGTGCTACCACCTCAGGACTGTCCGTCTGAATTAGATTCTTCCTCTTCTACTTCGACATTCAGTAAGCAAGCCTCCTGGATCGCGGCCACCCTGCTCCTGCGTCCCAGAGATGACACCAGCTCCGTTCCACCCGTTCAGCAAACTCCAGCGCTGGGAATAAAGTCAGTATAGAATAGCTTCAGAGGAATAAAGTCAGTATAGAATGAGCCAGGAGAGCATCGGTGTGAGGTGAAGAAGGGTGAAGACAGATGGACTACGGTCTTCCCAAGAGGACGGGCTGCGTTACCCACCTCCTGCGGAGCTGCACCTTCTCTGGAAGCAGCCCAAGCCCCAAGCGAAGCCCCAGCCCGGCCGCTTCCACACCTCGTTATTTTATACTCCCATGTCCTGGCAAGGTTGCAGCCAGAGAAAGCCGCAACAACTCTGTGCACGACCACGGACAGTTTGTAGTTCTCTGTCCCAGTACGAATCTAGCCCCTGGGGATAAAGCTTCCCTGAGCAAAGAAAAAGTCCTGGAGAGAAATTCAGAACAAATACAAGTGAACTCCTCTGGGCACTGCAGGCACCTGCATCAGACTGACCTCGAGTGCAGGGTTCTGCACCTTCTCTTGTCCTTTCATCTCCGGCCTGTCCACCACGCCAGACACCGGCAGGAGAGAGCTACGAGGTCACCACCTTAATGCTGAAACGCAAACCCGCTACGAGAGCTTGGCTCCTGCCCAACAGAAGTGGTTTAATTAGGGGAGACCTCACCTAGCAGTAGGGCACTGCCGAACCACTC